CACATCAAATGTCGCTTGGGTCTGGTTGCAAACCAGGTTTGCTGCTATGCTTCTGCACAGTCTGTCTGGAATTTCTAGGGACACACAGCAGTTTCCCGCCAAAGCACAAGGGGGAGCCTATTCAAGTACTCACAAGAACTTCGGCAGATAGTCACGAGAACTTTGGCGGCGCTGGCGTGAGTGTTTATCTTCCAAAACAACAATGGCGCATCTGCAAGGTATCACGGTCATGGAGATGGATCTAGAGTTGCTAGACATTGAAGGGGAACAGGTTCTGAGTGAACCTCCTCGATTAACCTTTCGTCGTAGTTGTCCAGTGTAGTTGTTGCTCGATTTTTAAAAATGGCGGGCCCCGGCACAGAATTGAGAAGGACGACCACACAGACAGCTGGAAAGGCATACCAAGGGCCAATCACAGCTGCTTTTTGTCTGCCCACTTCCACTTGAGGTCCGCACGGATTTAGACCGTCCGACGCGTAGTCAGGATTTTTTTTAGGTTCACAATGGCCATTGCAGAACCTCTGAGCAGAGGGCGTGGTCGCGCACAGAGATTTGACTGTTGCAGAGGCTATGCATCAGAAGCATAAATTAGCCTTTACACAAACTAGCCAGACAATTTCACATTATAGTTGTATCTACTAGATGATCTGAAGTGAGACTGAGGTGAATAAATTGGCTTTTGAGACATGATGGATAAGGCTAAAACTGAACAGTTAGCTCATTAAGCACTGGAGAACACACTTCCTTCTCCCTCCCCTAAAAAGAGTTAAAATAAAGGCCACTTTAATAAGAGCAACCACTGCAATAAACTATTCATCTGTATTAACATACTAATGTGTGTGTGCGTGCATTTTATATGAATGGACCAAGTGCTGGAAAGGTAAACATATTTTCTGATGCAACTTCACTGACTTACATTTGTCCAGTGTCCACACACCTGCAACCTCCACTGTTAAGTTAATGCTGAATCAGAGTTATCTCATCTTCGTAAACACGCACATAAATAAAAAACGACCAAAGCCAGGAAGAGCAACTTAACATATGTAAGAACAAGAAAGTTGATGAGTTTCAAATAAAGCCTAAAAGTAAAACCAATTTATCATCTCTTAAGTTTGCCATTTCTCTTAGGTGTTCCCTATAGAAAGTACAAGTCTGTTCAGTGGCCTCTTGTTCTAACAGCTTCTTGGTTTCATGGTTCAACCAAAAACACTGCAGTACTGTTTTCTCCATTATGGACTCCCATCTTTCCAATCACATGCCACTGTATCAGTTTTCGGGGGAAAAAAATGCATTCCTTTCTCTTCCATAAAAAAAGGAAAATCTTTACTTTGATCAAAGTAGATACATTAAAACTCTTATCCACTTAGGGCAGCGGTTTGTGGCAGTTAAACCCTGAGCACATTTCTTGCGTGATACCACAGAGCTGCAAACCAAAGTTATTGAGTGTGGTTTCTCAACTCCTGGGAGCTCCAGGGCAGTTTCAGGTACAGGGTTGTACGTTATGAATTCCAGTGAGCCATCAAAATGAGTCAGTGATATATACCATTGTTTGTGTAATTCTCTAAGGCTCCTCAAAAGCTAAAAACTCTGTGTTGCTGTCTTCAAAGTCAGGAACATGAGAGATCAAATGCTCAGGTTGTGACACTGAAAATGTTCTCCAATTATTTCTATTTATTCTCAATCTACTGGTAGAAAACAAGTTGGATGTTATACCAGTTCTTCTGTGGAGTGGTTTGGGAGGTGCCTCCTCATTAAATTTCAAATTCCTGTGCAATGGGAATGCAGATATGCATTTGCGCAAAAACACTAACTTAGGACGAGCCACTTAAAAGCATGCACTGTCGGTTTGTCTGCCAAATACTTCACTTTAATCTTATCAACCGCCCAATCGCACGGTGCGCCTTTAGTGTTGTTTAACCTGTCAGCATTTTTACAACAGGAAGCCTGTATGTGTGCGCCTCTGAAAAGCATTTAGAGATAAGGGCAGGAACTAAGGTCAGACATGCTTGTATGCCTGTGTTTATGCTCCTCAAACACTAGGGGAGAAAAAAACAAAATTGTTTTGGATGTAAATAAAGCATATCTGATGTGGCTACATACCTGTTTGTGCATCTCAATGTTGAGTCCATAGGACATCTCATAGTACTGTAAAATGAACAGAGATAACATCAAAAACAGCATTGAAGAAAAACTCTTACTAAAGAGCAGATACTATATTCATCTGTACATATAATGGCATATTTAACATGTTTAACTTTGGTGAGGAAAAAAATAAATAGAAGAATGTTACCTCTGCACATACTAACATGTAAGCAGATGAGAGGAAGTGAGCAGAAATAAGCAGACTGACTTTGACAAAAAAAAAAAGAAAAAACTGACAACTTTGGTGTATTTTTCACTGCCACAGCAGCAGTGGGCTGGTTTCATTTGAGTGAGCTGTCTTGACACACAACCACCACCTATGACTTCAAAGGCCCAAAAAAATAAAAAATGATGCGACTGCAAATCACCAAACTAACCATATCCAAGCTATAGCATAATCATGTCAGTCTTATTTATTTAAGACTCGGGTCTATGAATAACTCAAAGTGAAACCTTTACAGTCTGTAGGGAGACAGATGCTTGTGTTGGCAGAACATTTGAGTCGAGTCATGTTTACAAAACTCTGTTTTTGTCCCCCTTTTGCAAATTCTGAACTTCTGGGACAAATGACCTATTGAAATGAGCAAAGTTTAGCATTTACCATAAGATAAGATAAAAATGTAAATGCACTATAAAATACCAAAAAGAGAATGCATCAAATATATATTTCTATTTTCTTCTAAATTCATTGTCACCTATTTAGCAGGGCGATCATCTCTGATTAAAATTATGCTGTAATTATAGACGGATTAAACCAAATGATAGGTTCAGGTTTTGGCTGACAAAGAAAAAATTGTAAATCTTGGCTTAGAAGTTTAAACCATAGGGGAAATAATGAAAACAAGTCCAAAGTGGTCCACAGGGACACATGTGGTTGTAACATATGTACTTAGAGCTGTCCACTTGACATCAGATCAAATGGAAAACATGTTACCAGCAAGTCTGAACAGCTTCAGACTCTTCCCCAGTGTGAGAAAGCTGTGGTTGTGACACTTGTTTCACTTTGAAGAGGTTACTATAATAAAACTATAAGACGAACACACACAGGAAACCCACTGATTCATGCCCCAAGCCAGCAGAGGAGCCCTTCACTTCCTTTGGATCATGTTAGGTGTTTTAGAGTGGATGGTGGTTTTGGATGGTCACAAAGCGGGGAGCCCACAGGGACACAGATGGGAAGGGAGGGGGTCGTCACACCCTACAATCAATAGCTGGACATTTGACCCCGTCTAGAATTTCAGCTGCCCCTCTGTTAACCCCCACCCCGCACCTCCTCGTCCAATGAAAACAACTGTGAGTCAACAACCAAAGGAGATCTCGGAAAAAACAACTAGGCTGCACCACCTGTGACTTTTCACCTGAGGCAAATGGGAGGGTACGGTATTAAATCTGAATCAGAGCATACAATTAGTACACTTACCATGACATAGTGGCGCTGCATTTCTGTCTTTTCATTGGCCAGTTTGTCGTACTCAACTTTAAGACTAAAGAACACACACAAAAAAAACAATTCAACTATATGCAACTAAGTGACAAGGGCCCTGAAAGACAACCATCACAATCATCAAACAGAACTACAGCAAATGTGAGAAAGCAGTGTCAATGTTATTTTGCCATAAGTGTCAGTTTTGCTGCATGGGGCTACAATAATGGAGCAACCAGTAGCAGCTTCCTCTTCCTATTGTTTCCAGGAAGCCAGAGCTGTTTACAGTCAGTTAGCCATTACCTGTGGTACTGCGCCTGCAGGAATTGAAATTCGTCTTTGATCCTATCGCAGGACTCTGCTACGGTGAACTTGAAGCCAGGCTGCCCTGGTTGGTGAGGTGCCTGAAAAAAAGTGAAGAATGGAAGGTATAAACATCATCAGTGGATCTCTGATGATGGCAAACCCACTTTTTCCTGTTTTGTCCTCATGCCTGTGCCTCAATAAGCAGAAGAAAGGGCTGCTTTTACTCAGGTAAGCCACTTAAACCCATCCACAGTGCTATTACATGATTACTGTAGTCACAAATAGCCTCCAAATTGAACATTTTAAATGATGCTGATGAGCATCTCTGCCCAAACAAGGCCCCGAATAGGAAGGTGTAGATCTACAGCTCAATTCCCAGGTGATTTAGATATATTTTCTTAAAGAGGTGATTGATTTGCATCAATGTACAAGCAGTGGCAAAGAGAAGCTACTTACCGGATGCCGGCCTTGTGGATACATGTCGAGTTTTTTTTACACAAATCGATGTTTTTTATTCTCTTTTTTGCCGTAAGTATCAGAGAAGGTGCAGTAAAATAGAAAAATCACCGCCACCCCCTCCCCTGTATATGCAGGATGGCGGTGGACAAAGCCTTTCTCAGCTAAGAGGCGCACTTTCAGACTCCAGTCTGTGGATGTGTCACCTTCCCGGCCTTGCTTTGTACCTAAACAAACAGAAAACGAAGCACAGCTGAGGATCAAATAAACAAAGCCACAAGAATTTAACCTGACTGACCTAACCGAGCACACTGTTACGTAAAAAAACATCCAAATAAAGTGTTTATTTCTTCTTCTCGGGATTATTATTATTAAATATTTACTCTAAATCGTGATATTCCCTTTACTAATCATCTTAGTATGATCACAGGAGGTAAAACGGGAAAAAAAAAACAATGCGTTACATTTTCAAAGAACAACAGATGAATCCTTAAGTCTTAGTTTTGAATATACTCACTTCGCTTTTCCTGTAAATGTACTGAAAAGGCTCCATAATGAGGAAAATATGTATATATCTAGTGCGTTGTGAAAGAAAGCAAGAAGTCTGCTCCCATAAAAGCCACATCTCGCCTTGTTAGCGGCTCCCTTCATGTAGCCGTTTTTTTTTTACCTTTGTCTCGAATGATTCCTCCCTCCTCTGCACAGGTAAGAAATAATATCCACACACAACGGAATGTTATCGACCTCCCTCCGTCACTGAAAAGTAAAAAAATAGTCTTTCCTCGTTTCTTGTTTTTTTTCTTTTTCTTTTTGTTCGCCCACCCTTCAGGGTCCTTTAAAGCCCGCGATTCAGAGGCGGAGAGCGTCGCTCCGTCCGTCCGTTCGGACGCTGGAAACCCCTCGGTTAGGACGTGTCCTCGACCGCAGACAACTTCAAAAACCAGGCAGTTAGATCCTGCAGCGGTGCGCCAGTTCTCCAGTAACTCCGGGCAGAATGGACTGTCGGCTGGAGCAGTTATTTTTGTGTTAAAATATCGAGCGTTGTGAAATTCACCGCCAGCCTGCCGTTGGGTACCCAGTTCCTCCGCCGCGCGCTGTACCACACACAGACTGTGCACTGACACGAGGACCTCACTGCTGAGAGAGGGCCGACGACCAACCAATCAGAGTCTTCGGCGGAGCGTAGAACGGGTGACCAATCACCGAGCGCTAACCCCCACGTGGGGTTTCAGCAAAACAGTGGTTTTGATTGGACAAACAATGTGACCTCACACGGACGCCATTTTGGATGCGAAGTGACATTCTGAACGTCCAAACAACTTGTTCAAAACAAAGGTAATAATTTATGTGTCCGTCCATTTCAGCCAGGCAAAGCAAAATGCCATCGACATCTGTTAAACTTTGCTCGCCCAAGCACGTGTCTGTGGTATGAACGTCACCCGATGGAAACATTTTATTTAAAATACGAATCTATATAGAAACATACAATAAAGGCAGCGTTTCCTTGAAATATGTGTAGATAGCAGAGCATGGAGGCCATACTTTCAATTCATAAGATGCAGATATTCTAAGCAAAATAGTCTCATCTGGATATCAAACAAGGAACATGAATAAACAGAAATTCATTAACGCCTCATAGCGCACAGAATATATTTTATCTACAGTAGAGCGTCCTTTTAGTGACTTGAATTGATCGACCTATTTCTAACAAGACCCTAAAAGCGTGTACAAGCTTCCCTATCAGCATCAATAGGAAGACTACAACACCTCTGTGCCTCCGCCTATCATGTGTTGCTCACGCTGCACACCCCACGTGGGGCCTCCCCTCCTCCCTCCGCCTCACTGCTCTCTGTCCAATGATGTCGCGGCTCTCTTGCTGCGCCGCTCACAATTGGTTGTTGGCTGGCAGAGCTGTCAGTCAGGAGTCCTGCTTGTCAATTAAACCCACGTTGGGTACCGCGCTGACAAATGCCTGTGCTACTCTCCCTCCTGCCTGCGAACAGTGCCTGGAATGGCTGCTTAATTAGCTTCGAATGGCTTTTCCTTTCAGCTCAAACAATCTGTCACTACCATGTGGTAAAAAGAACCCTGCATAAAACAAAAGCAGGAGAAAAAAAAAAAGCTAGTAGGGGCTTAAATATCAGTTTGATCCCCCCTCCCCATGAAAACATTTGCTGGAAAACAAAGCTTTTACCTCACTCAAACATTGGCTCCTTTCACTCATCTGTTTCTGTCCTCAATTTCATTTAAAACTTCATTTATTTGTTTATATAGGAGTCCATTTAGGCCCATCATGTTTTGATCTATAAGCACCAGTTTAGTTTGGTTAGCCTTCATGGCGTGTGGTTTTTCAGCTATTTTAATCAGGTGTAATATAATAAATATTCTTTTTATAATTTCATAGGAAAAGAACACCTCATATGAAGATAACTGAAAGCAATGTAATCAGCACATGCAGACTTAAACTACAGCTAAGAGAGTCATGCTATATGAATCCCATATCATACAATGGAAATTATTACTTAGTCGTTTAGATCGATATGCTAATATATAAATGTAAATGGTTCCATTTGGGGGAACATTTTGTTCCCCTCAGACCGAAACACTGCTTTGTAATATTTCATCATTTCATTTTCTGAAGCACAATGAAGTGCTCAGAGTACTAAATTTGAGCTGAAGCTAGCACGCTGCATGCTTCAGCTGCTGCTTAGCAACAAATGGATCCCTCCTGCAGATGTGGCGACATCAGTTGGGATAATAACTCATGTACTGAGGGCATGTCGCAGAGTGACACACTGGCTGGGAGACTTTAAAGAAGGGTTTCACATAAAACTTCTGCAAATGATTAATTGTTCCAGTAGCGATCGTAATTACAGAATCTCAGAAGCAGCAGACATAAAACGGTATAAACGCCATCTGCTTTTTAAAATCCAATTTTTTCCAGAGACTATATTTTAATTTTTTGTTCAGCTTTCTCTTTATTATGACACTTACTGTCATCAGTCCCAAAATACCAGATTGCAAACATTAACGCCAGATAACACGTCTTCATCCTCAACTTTTTATTCAGGCAGTTTGCAAAATGACAGACAGAAAAAAATATATTTTGAGGTAAAACATATGCTATAACATATGTATAACATAACCAGTCAAATACATGCAGCAGATCAAACAGAGCTAAAGGTAAGACCATTCATGCATCAACCTACAACCATTGTTACTGCAGGCACTACTTTGAGATTCAGCTTCCTGTTTGTTAACCAGATTACTACATTTTCTAAAATGATTTAGCACTTAAAGTTGCTTCACATTCTTTATAGATTCAAATATATCCACCTGCCACCTCAGGCCTTAAAGTGTATTATCGCAGAAGTGGGACTGTTAAATTAATTAATAGTGTTAGACCGCAGCTTTTTGTTTCCATTTCCTGAAAAGTAAGAGAAGCAATGCTACATTAAATAAAAGCAAATTGCAGCACATTTTCCCAATACTTTGCACAGTTTCAACTTTTCAGTGTTCACTTCTCTTGCAAAATGATGGTAAGATGTTTTGAGGAAGTCTGTATAGAAACCACTTCTCACATTAACCGTTTGTGTCATAAACCATATGCTGGCTGTTTGTGCACGTTTAAGTTGAGTGTTTAACTTCAATAATGTATTACTTTGGTGCAGAAGAATGCTTTTAATTCAGCGTTAGAGTAAAATAAATCTGTTATCATTCTTTTAAGTATATGCAGCTAGGTCCAAAAGGGATGTTCAGTGGAGGTATGCACCTAAATCTTCACAAGTATGTTTATATAAGATAAACCATGCAAAAGAACCCAAAAGGAGTCAAATTAAGTCCAAACAGAAGTTCATAGGGATAGAATCCAGGATTCAGTGTGGAGTTTATCGTTTCTCTTTTAACCACCCCATGGTTTAATCCAACAAAATCAATCTGAAATACTTTATGACATTGGGAGCTCGAAAAGAGCATTAACATACAAATATCTGACAAATATTTAAAGGACTGGGGCCTCGGTGGGCAGAGGAAGGAGAGCTGTGATATTTCCACCATCATCCATTCATCATATCTGTAGTCAAGTGGGTATGTAGTGTTGATTTAAGTGGAGCTGTTGGTCAGTGGTGCAGATATTTGACAGTTTGCTCTGCGCTGAGCTTCCTGGGATTGGTATGTGTAGGCCCAGTGTAAGGATGTGGGTTATCTGGGAACTGGCAAACACAGCGGTGGTCTCCACAGGGCCTAGCCTCTGATTGAATAACTGAATACAAACAGGCATTTTCGTACGGCTTCATCTGACACGTAGTCGGTCCTGGATGCATCAAACACGCCCCCCCCCCCCCCCCCCCCCCCTCCACAGACACACACACACATTCGCACACAAAGATTCACTTTTCATCCCACTCAATTGAGAGTGGCCTAGATTAAGCAACAACAAAGAAGTGGGTTTCACCGGTGGGAGAAGTGGGACTGGCCCGCCCTTCTAGACCTCTGCACTGTTTATTTGCACTGGAAACCCAGACGCTGTGAAACTCCCACTCTGAGGCACTGCACAAATATTGAGGCTATTTGCAGAGGTGGTTTTAATTCTTTACAGAGCAATGATTGGCCCTTTGCACTCTCATCCCTGCAGAAGCTTTGTCAGTGGATTCCTTCAGTCCTCTTTGCTTTAACCCCCCCACACCCCCACACCCTAATGCCAACCTGAAGCAGCGAGCTATTAAATACATACGACTGATGTATATTTTAAATATTAGTGGCTTCTAAAGAGAAAATCATATTTATTATTTTGCCATATCAATTTCTCTACTTAAACAAATTCTCCAAACCACAGTTCTAATTGTTATTACTTTCTTCTGCTCCTCTTGTATAACAGATAAGGATCCAATATCTCATGGATGGATGGATGGATGGATGGATGGATGGATGGATGGATGGATGGATGGATGGATGGATGGATGGATGGATTCTATTCTGTACGAACCCTTTGAGAAAACCAATCCCGATGAGGGACTGAAGTGTGAAAATGAGGGGTCTCTGTCTACACAGCAAAAGACTCTTTTTTTTAAGATTTCTTGACATTATGAGTTATAATCCAGTGGAACTGATTAATACTTGATTCGCTTCCTTCAAAGGTGACATCACCATTGTAGAACTGTTTGTATTCCAGTATCCATGAGATTAATTACTTCATCCATTCAACTGCCGCCATTTCCAGCCATCCCAGTCGCTTTGAATTAGAGTGCAGCACTGGGGGCTGTTTTCCACCGCAGAGTGTTCAGTGGGATGGTCGCTGCAGCATTCTAAAGCGCCCACTGACTCAGGATTATTGACATGCTTTCACAGGCGAGTTCAGGCCTTGAAAGGAGACATTCCTCGCCACAATGGGCCCAGTGTGTGTCGCGGGGGCAGCAGACATGAATAGAGCCCTTAAGTATCACAGTGACTCGTCAGCCTCTAATCAATGCAAACAAGATGAAAGGGGCTTATCAAAAGAGACAAACACAGACATGAGCAGCGCCTGATCAAAAAAGGTGAAGGCCCTTTTTTTGTGTAATCTCTGCGTTAGCTTGTGCTGTTGACTGGTCTGTAGGTACTGGCATAATTCAAGCAGAAACGCATATAACTACTATGTAGTCTTCTATTAGCTCTCTACAGTGCAGGTATTTTTATATCTAACGGAAATATATACCAGGATATTACAACTTTTTTCTTTTTTTATACTTTTATGTACCATATTCACCCTTTTTATGTCGTATTTTATCTTTAATGGCATCTTGCTTTAACTCTGTACTCTTTTAACCTACTGGAAACTGAAGGAGTAATCACAATAAAGTTGTTTCTAAGTCTAAATATAAAGTATGGAGTTACTTTTATCAAATTCAAGAAAAACACAATCTAAAATAGGAAAATGATTTTGAAAGTAAAATAAATATATTGATATGATACTGATAGGAAAAACTGATGTTTTGTGAGGCAGAAAAAAAGTTTTGGGAGAAATTACATAGAACAAATAAAAGATAAGCTGACATTTGGAAAATGATTTCTAAGGTAAAAAAAAAAAATCTCTTTTCAAAATATATTACTCTCAAATATTGTTCTTTTTTTGCAGTCAGAGTGAAACCTTTTCTCTCAAAAATAAATTTCTCTCTCAAAACTTTTTTTTCTTTCTCTCGATGTCAAAAACCTCTCACGGACTAGCCTGTGTCCGATTGGCCAGTCTACACAGACCTGATGGGTGATATTCGGTGCAAAGGTGGTTACACCCGCCTCGTTTATTTTGATGAGGCAACACTTGTTTGCCCACACTGCCTTACTCCACCAGCAGGTGCGTT